AGAGAGAGAGAGAGAGAGAGAGAGAGAGAGAGAGAGAGAGAGAGAGAGAGAGAGAAAGAGAGAGGCGTTGTTACAAAACGACAATGTGGCAAGCGCATCATCGAACGGTACAGAGAAGAAGCAGTTCAGGCCAGGGCAAGGGCCCTGTATCAAAAGTACGACGAAGGGAGGAGCTCGTCATCGCGCATGTTCCGAAAGCGGGGACGGTGATCCCGCTCTGCCTCTAATGTGTGACTTGTTAGTTTACGTTGACAGTATCAGGTTGCATTACGCAAAACGGTTCAATTCACCAACCCACCTCGGGTAGCGATGTTGCGCTCTCGACGGGCTTTGTAGGACGGCAATTTTCTCATCCTCCAGTCAAAGCTTCAAGGCAAACCCCCCGAACGATTCCTTCTATCACGAGTTACCGTAGTGCATGTTGGGTGGGTTGCTGTCCGACGTGGTCCCCCGGTCATACCAAAGAATCCTATTTGCCTTCCGTTCCGAACAGTGTCATCTGGAAGTGGGTGGTAGGGAGGTGATAACGGAACTCGAATAACCGACTTTGAACGTGTTTTGAGACCTTCATGTGCCCACACCTGAAAGCCACGCGCCCGTCCTCGGAGCTGCGTATCGAGGAACTCTCGACCGGATGATAACCGAGGGTGCTGCATGAAAACCCGTTTGATTCGAAGACACAGACGACCGACGATGCGAGCAGCGCGAACTACACAACGTTAGGGCTCTGCATGAAAACCAGTTTGATTTGAAAGTCGCAGACGACGACAGCGGTAAATAACGTGTATCGTTAGTATCCGTCACGCACACATGTTTTGCGCTTTCTGGTGGCGATGTTTCGATCGTATTTCTGGAACATGAACCATGGCATGGCCCACTCTAGGAGAAGGCACACGAATCGCGTCAAAGCAGGATACGCAACTACGTAGGTAGCAACATTTCCCACTCCCTGGACCAAATTTCGACGCTCAATCTCAATGACGAAGAGGACGACAATTTCGAGTGATGTGCGTTAGGGAAAGCTGGCGACGTATGCAGGTTCCAACGCCACATCCCACTAGGCAGTTGTTGCTGCAGAACACTTGACCACTGAAAACTAGTCCACGGGTGTTGAATCTTATGCGACCAACAGCATCTGATACTACCATTCAGCAATTCCAATGTTTGTGGAGAAGGAGCACGAGGACTGATGCACGAAGGCACGCACGGTATGCAAAGAGACTCATCAGCCAAATCCGACATTGTTGTTGGCCAGGAACAAGCACTACAGTAGTCTACGCCACGCACCGAAGACAATCTCACGTGCAGAGGAGACAAGCCTCTTCGACCGTGAGCATCCCGTCCCTATCTCGGTCGTACATGTCGAAGAGAACTTTCATCAGCTCAACATCCTCCTCCTGTCAGAAGACAACATCGTGCGACGATTGGTATGGTGCGAAATCGAAACAACGGTGAGCGTATCGTCATTGTTGTTCTCAACAAAGAGTTGGATGAACACGTGTGGTGTCAGGTTTCAAACCGAGTTGCATGCGGGTTGTACCTACATTTTGGGCGCTATCGAGAACACGGCCGTTCAACATATAGAGATACAATAGGCTTGACACCACTCACTGAACACAGTACCCAAAGGGTATCGTACAGCACGCATTGACCTGTCCTCGTATGACTGCATGATCATGTTTGTTTGTTGCCCTCCAGCACGCCGGACCTACAGCAAGATATACATAGTCTATGGCATGCTGGTTGCCACGTACAGATACCACCATCTCCGAGAAGGCCATAGACTCTACACAAAGTACAACCCCCCTGGCGCATGGCTTGTTGACCGAAGTGTACATATTACCTACGTGCCTTTGACGTGATGAATTGCACAAGAGAGAGATGGGGCTGTAAAGGCTTGCTGGTCGGCTGGCCGCCGTGAGCCGACGTATTTATTCAGCCTTTTACAGTTCACTTTCATGTCCCTATAGACCACGCAAGCATGGCCAAAGCCACAAAGCCCTACCAGCTTGGTGCTGCCACCTCACAATCTTCCTGCAACGTGAAGTAGCACGTGACACGCACTTTGAAGCCAGTCAACCGAAGGAGGTGGCGGTGCTCGTGGTCTGTCGACTTCGGGCGTCGGGGGTTGGCCTCGCCCGCCACGAGAAGAGGCCCTGGTTTGAAAGCGCGATAGTCTCCGCCGGCGCTGGAGACGATGGTTGACGAATCCGAACTAGCGAAAGAGAACATGTTATCGTTTGGATGCTCGTTGGATCCAAGGGGGCATAGCGTGATGGACGACGTTCTTGAGTCACCCACGAGCGAGCGCCGAACACAGGAGAGCGGCACGGGAAAACACACGCGTCATCAAAGAGGTTGCGAAATCAAGGAAAAATAAAAACACGCACAACCACGACGAAACGACACCTGTTTCGCCGCTTGTGCAAGTTGTTTGCGTTTTTTCGAGAGGGAGGGCACAACAGATGCTTCCCTGTAATAGTACGGCATTCTTCGACGCTCGTATTCCCATCGGAGCCACAGCATTTACGATCGCGCGATATTTCACGTCGTTTCCACACCGACAATGCCGTTCCAAAGAGACTACATGTAGGCTAGAACTCCTTCAACAACGTGTGTGCAAAGCAACCAACATGGATACAAACAAGTCGATTCTCGCCGAAGTTTCAGAAAGTTCGTCGTGCCTTTTTCGAGTGCACGTGGATGCATCTTGACGTTTTTTGTCGAGGATGTTTGACGGCGTCTGCATACTGCAAACAAGTCGATTCTCGTCGAAGTTTCAGAACGTTTGTCGTGCCTTTTTCGAGTGCACGTGGATGCATCTTGACGTTTTTTGTCGAGGATGTTTGACGGCGTCTGCATACTGTAGCGCAAGCATTAAGTTTGCAAATTGCTACCACGGAATCTAATGTTCCCGCTTTTCGCGAGGAGAACGCTGACAGCTTTGCCGAGAGGGTTGCTCACAAACTCGACGCATTTTTTTTTGTTTCTGGCCAATTACTTGGAGGTGAATGTCGGGGAAATGTTAGTGCTGGTCCCCAAGACGTTTCGTACTTGAGAAAAAGACCACCCGCAGCAATCTACGCAATTTGATGCCACCGCCATCACGAGAAAGCTAATATTCACTGGTTCCGACTCGTGGTTGTTTGGAAGTCACCGCGCCAAACAAAATCCGCCAATTTTTTTGCAAGTTTTTCGGTTTTCTCTGGACGGGCAATCGACCATTTTGCACCGCTTTGTGAGGAAATAAGGAGTAGTACTGCGTTCAACCGTTAAAAAATCACAGTAAACAGCATATCTCTCCGCCGTGAAAACGAAACGCCTTTTCGAGAAAAACGAAACGCCTTTCCGGGAAAAATGAAAAACCGTTTCCAACAAAAACGAAATGAATCATCGAGGCATTGAAACTCCTCACCGATCAAACGAAAGGTCCCACCCGCGAGAAAAACGAACGCCGCCTTGTTCATCCAAACCTTACAGCAGCAGTACATTGAGCCGGCGGGTCGAATGAGACAAAAAACCATCGCGAGACGCTGCAGGAAAAGCATCTCCTGCCAATGGTTGACACCAGAACATGTCGCTGCTGCCGTCGCACAAGGAAAACAAGCTCCAACCAAACACATCTCCGCGCTATTAACTCAACGAACTCAACGGTCTTCTTCCCTCCGTGAAAAAATGAACTTTCCATGAGACAGAAAAGAGGCCAGAACGCTCTCTGCTCCAAAATCTGTGACCGACCAAGCTTAGGCTATGTGCCAGACACAAACACAAGCTTCACTCGCTTCGCAAACGGGTCAAAGCGAACTAAAAATCACGGAGAAGTTTAAGTGCGTGCTCCCCTCCGGCCTTCATCCCCCGTCTGCCCGGCAAAACAAGCAAGCCTATTTCGGGAATCACTTAGCCCACACGCAGTTGAGGATTTCGGGTGGCATCGAGAGTGCCTCGCCTCCTCAAGTGTACAACTGTATATATCCCCCCCTCCAGTTAATACGCGCTTGCTGCGTTAACCCCACTTCCACACCCAGCATGCCAGGTCAGGCCTCCTCGTCGTCCACGTTGCGAGCCTCAACGAGGATGTTCTCAAGCAAGTGCACCAGGTAGCGCTGCGGCGAACGATTTGACGGTTTCATCCACGGGGAGACAGGGGCGTCGGTTTGATCTGAGACTTGACCTTCTCTAGTCTTGACAAAGTTTCTGACACAGCGATGGTTCCGAGGACAACATGAGGCCCGTAAAAAAAAAACGCACAATGATCCGCACCGGCAGTATCGCGAGTAACAGCATCGATTATACTTCGAAGGTCCCACGCGAAGACACGTGGCCGCCTCACGCGAAAAAAGACGGATGAAACTGGTCACACGGTGTTCGTGGAATTTGCCCTTCGAATCCTGATCGAACTTTCCAATCAAAGCAAACACGGCACAAGGAACGACCTACGGAAAACACAGTTGTCTCCCTCATTAGTGTCGGTTGAATCGTTACACTGGTGAAACCGCATCGCAAGGATGGATATTCAAGTTGTCTAATTCTCTGATAGTTACGGGTGCTCGGGTATGATAGTGATGGGCCCGCGGGCTCATAGCGGCGCTACTGGTGTCCCCCCCGCCGCGGTATCGACTTGTGCTGCTTCTCCGCGGAAAACCAAACAGTACGATTGCTGCTAGAAAAAAAACAACCGAAATACAATATCGAACAAACAGCAGTTCCAACAAAGGGCAGCAAAGGTGACCAGCAGTCAGACAAAGGACCACACACACCACTTCAAACAACGGCAGCGGCAGTTAGGCTAGACCAAACAGAAATTCCAACAAAAGCAGCACCAGTGGCGAACAGTCAGGCAAGACACCAAACACCAGTTCCAACAAGGTCAGCAGCAGTGCCGAGCAAGTCAGCCTGTGACTACAAGATTTTAGAAGGGCAGCAGCGGTGACGAGCAAGTCAGACGGTGCCCCACTTCCAGCAAGAGCAGCAGCGGTGGCGACTACATGAGGCGGCGTAACCGACAGACCTTATTATCGATGCGGTTGGGGAACCGATCCGACACGAGCCTCAACACCTGCTGCCTCTCCAGGTACCGAGGGCCAACGATCTGAATCAGCCGCTCCTCCTCCGCCGGAGCAAGCCCCAGGAGGGGCACCGGCACCTGCAAGCAAGGTAGGGCGGGGGGGGGAGATTCTCATGTACCTACATGCATGCCGTAGTCGTTACGCCATTGCCCTCGCACCCCTCCATACAATGCCGGAAGGGAGAGAAATCCCGGGTATTCGCCAGACCAGTGCTTCATTATCATTCTTGCCTTTGCAATGCCAAACCAGATGCGACCTGGGGGGTGCTTGCCGTGTATAAGAGCGCAAGATTATTCGTTTCGCATCGACAGCGATAACCGGCCGACCAATGAAAACACGGCAGAGAGAACGACTTAAGAACGTGTGGTGATGTACTTGTGACGTGTTTTTTCCTCTACGCAAGATTCGATCGGCAGTCGACACGATCAAAAGAAAAATGAGCTAAACCCAGAAGGTACAACTATGGGACAAGATAGATCCAAAGAGCACTGAAATACTCGTCCGCGCGCACATAATATTCGCCCCAGGATGACAGGAAAACAGGATGACCGCCAAAAAAAGAAGCCGGCATGGTGTCTCCACCAAGTCGGCTTGCTGGAGCAGATGCAAAGACCACAACGCAAGGTGTTCTTGAATACCCACAGAGAGCACCGGCGCTTTCTGGGGCTGAGGGCACAGAGCCTCGACACAAACGCCGACCCTCCCGTCCCCCCCCCTCTGGACCCTGAATTTCTCACCCGGAGCTCGACCGTAAGACTCCAGATGCAAAGAGAGAAACAACACACTCGATACGTTAAGTATCACATGCAATTCTTTAGTGCATGCTTTCGTCAAGCACACAGAGCCTTGACACACACGCGGAGGCCTCCACCTCCTGCCCGTTGTCCTGCTCACCCCGAGCTCGAATCTTGATCTCCGGATGAAAAGAGCCCAACAAACGGAATTGTCGTCATACATGTGTCACGAAAAACATCGGTGCCTGCTTGGGTACAACACGCAAGCATCCTGGCCCGCTCACCGTATCCTCCCCGCCCCCCCGCCCCCCCTGCCCTTTCACCATCAGCTCGACGTCAAACATACTCCAGACGCAAAGACCGAAACAACCCACAGGATTCGCTTGACATCATATCCAGGCCACCGGTGCCTGCTCGGGTTGACGCCTGCCCTCCCCCCTCCCTTCTCACCCTGAGCTCGACCTTGAACTCCGCAGGGTGCACTCCGTGCGCGTTAGGGTAGCGCTCGTCCGAGTCTCCCGCCATGTATGTCCGGCAGCTGAACCCTAGGATGTCATCGGGCACCGTGCGCGGCGGAAGCGGCTGGCCGGACATCGCTCCCCCCCCCCCAGATTCTTCCATCGAGTCCTCGTCTCCTCCTGACGCGGTGGCCGAGCAAGAACGACCACAAATTAGCGGAGGTGGCGGGAGGCGATCAGCGGGTGCGGCGTGTGCCTGTCGGACGAGAAGCTTACTTTGTGTCTCGTATGATTGTGTTCCCTTTTGACGCCGTGGCGATATTTGCTGTTCTGCCTGATTCGCCCCGGGATAGTACGCATGTGTAGATACAAGGAGCGCCCGCCCGCACACCTAGGAATAGAGCAAACAAGGCCGCAACTACACGCAATAGGCTTTGGTGTGGGGGTCAGTCACCGGGATTAACACATAGTGCTCACGTTCTCGTGTTTTGATAGAATGGTAGCCATGGAGTTCTTACCTGTCGAAGGGGAAGAGGTACGGCGTGGCTCACACATCTGGGTGGGCGCTACTACGCATATCAGCAGCAGCAGAAGCACTACATGATGTACGATATCGAAGAAGGTGTTCAAGTAGTCAATCGCGGCAGTGGAGTCGGAAGGGTGATGGTAGGTTACCCAGGGTGAGCCAACCACGGCCTCCGTACATACACCCTAGTCCATGTTTCGGGATGATGGTATTCATGCTACTATCTTTGCGGGCAACACAAACGGAAGCAGCCTCAACGCAATGCCCAACCCTCAGTTGTAGTAAGGAAGCGAGAGATGGCACCTACTAGCAAAATGACACACATCGGAGAGAACGCATCGGGTTGGGCAAGAAAAAGCGAAGGACGACATGAAATATCAAAACTCGATTTCGGCGCCGGAGAATCGTTGCGAGATGGCATGCCACGCCATCGCAGCCAACAAGCGAACGCGAGAAACCGCTACAGCAGTTGGTGCATAAACGTATCCCCACAATCAACAGGTGCTGTTGCGTAACTCCTTTCGCCTTCCCGCTATCCCCGATGTTCCCTCCCTCGCCAACGCGGTTGCCACCGCCAGTGACGAGAGCGTATATACGCCCCCACGCTCTCCGACGCCTTCTTCCTACAGTAACGGCCTCCACATCCACCCATGCATTCACTACATACCACCATCTGGACGTGTATATGTTGAGTTCAACATAAAGTCGCTGATCAAGTACGGTGTGTTCAAGTATTGGACCAGGCGACATCTTCAAATCCTGCTTTTAGAGAGAGGGAGGGCGGATTTCGCGATTATTATCGGACGGCGGCAAGAAGAAATGCACAACGCACAGACTACAACACACGGACGTCTTTTCCTTGTTTGGACAGGCGTCATGTGGGCCTTCGGTGTACCAACCCGAACATACCAGATATCTACAATATTTGTATAAATCATGAGTTTCGGACTTGAACAGACGCAACAAGTCCAGTACCCAGACGCTTTTCCTCCGCTCACTGACAAGACTCCACCAAATCCCGTTCGAATGTGGGTATATCTCGAACGGGTGCAGTCTTTGTGTGTGTGTATTCATTTATTTATTTAATCAATATGACCCGACGAATCCATCTCTATCGAAGAAAAGGGTCGTACGCGGTTTCTTACCCTGTGATTATTTCGGAGATTTATTTTTATATCGGTCGGGGGGGGTGGCCTGCACGGGAAAAATTGAAACGACCGTCTTGACGGTTCCTCGAGGTGTATTTTTTACTGAAGGGAAAAAAGAGGCTGGTTCATGTCCTCGAGAGTCACAACGTGCTTCAATACACGTTTTGGCTCGCGAGCGACCAACAAGACACCGAGCGCCCTCTTCATGGGTCGCCTGCAGAGGGCATGCGTATCATCGCACGCCAGTGGCTGCAATTTGTGGATGTCGTCGGCCAAAGGCCTCTCTATGATGGCATACGTTGTACACTGATCACACTCGACTCGGAGCAAGCAGTAGAAACAAAAGGCAACGTCCACAAAAGGCAACACCGAACCACACCTCGGTTCACGTTTGCAGGCCGTGTGCAACCAAAACTGGACAATACGCTCTGCCTCTGGGATGCGAGCAGTATGTGTATGGCCACACGCCACTGGCTGCTGCTTGTGGATGTCGTCGGCCAAAGGCCATGGCATGCGTTTTTGACTGGTCGCGGTTGACACACGGAGCAAACACGCGGCGGAATTATAAAAAAGCCCGAGTCAACACCGCAACACACTTGGTTCATATTTGCAGGCCGTGTGCAATCAAAACTGGACAATACGCTCTGTTTCTGGTACGCGAGCAGAGGCACGCCATTGGCTGCAGTTTGTGGATATCGACGGCTTAAGGGCTCTCTCTGGCGTGCGTTTTGAACTTGTCACACATGCAGCAGGCGCAAAAACGGCTCTTTTCGGCCGAAGGCAAGAACGTCAGCAGAGCTATGTGGCAGGGTTGACTTTTCCGGCTCGTTTATGGCCAACAAGACGCAGAACGCCCTGAAGTTAGATACCTGCAGAGGGTTTGTGCATGACCTCATGATACTGGCCTCTGTTGGACCAGCAGACGGTGTAGTTCCTCGTTCCGGCACGATCGGGGTGTGACCAGGAGGTACCCCCCCCCATATCTAACAGCGATATTCCAACAGGATCGCTGTTGGAACATGGGGCCAATTTTCTACCAAGACCGCCGGAATTGTTGGAGATATTCGGGCTGTGATAATTTGCCATTTTCCTCCGCGTAAGCAGCCCATTTTTGGGGGGGCTAAGAAAGGTAACAGAGTCAACAAGACAGTTTGGTAGCCATCTTGTGTATCCATCTGCATGTTATGCTGGGATGGTGTAGAGGGAAGAGGTTGGGTAGTTAGTTCGTCGGGTGCGTGAACATGTGCACCCTTACTGAATGGTGTGAGTGTGTATTATTATTTCTTTTATTATCAGCATGTGCCCCCTGAGTCTCGCCTTGCGATAGCCCTGTGTAGCGCCATGTACAGCAAGCAGCATGCAATTCTACGAAAGGTACTGTTGTGAGAGCATGCATATATGACTGAGGGTTGCGTGTTAGGAAAAATACTAGTAGAAACAAAGAACGACTGCCTGTTCGAGTGTTGAAATCTTCGCAGTGAGTGGAGGGAAACAACTGCGTATGTACGAGATGGCGGGCGCCAAACGTCACTGCAACCACCAACCGGTTTGTTTTCGTTGCTGTTGAGGGCACACACAAAAATCCGTAATACTTTACATAATTTCAAGTATACCTTTTTTCGCACCTCGCCAGTGACTGCAAACATCGTGGGTGTAAATGCGCCTATGGTGCGGAATTCATACTGGGAGAAAGTGAAGTTGGGTATTTGGAGTCGAATCGATGCTAAGGACTTTGTGGTGAGTTAATCTGCTTGGCATTACGTTTTACTTTAGTCACTGGTAAATGTCCCGTTTCCTTGTGGAGCTGGAGTAATGTTGTTGTGTTATGTCCATATATCGTGATGTCTATGTAAAATAAAAATAAGAACGCTTGGTGTGTATTAACGACATAAAAATCCCTTTCGATTTACTCTTTAACGTTAACGAAACTCTGTACACACGTAATTTAGTAAGCCTGATGGCTTATAGCGATGCGAAAATTTGTGGGTAACCACAATTTTGACCGTCGAAACCGCAAGGGGGAACACTGAAAATCAAACGTGTCCCTTGCAAGTAGGACAATTCATCAACTTCCGTACACCTCTCAAAAATTCCCCTGTACCCAGGTGACAACGGAAAAATTGGGAATCAAATTCTGCTGAACCAGAAATCTGCACTTCAAAGAGCCAGCCAGCAACATCTGCTGAGAGGAGCACGCATGCATGCAGTCATTCCGGTTTTAGCTCAGCCACCCACCTCTCTTGGTTTTCGGAGCTAGCCGGCATTTCGGATCCAGCCGTTGTGCGATACTAATCATCTCCGCTAGGACTTGAGGAGGACGGACTGTAAAGCTGTAGAGTACACTGCATCGTATCTGCTCCTTGCTGCTGCTCTCGGCTGACCCAGGACTCCAAAAAATCCCCACAGGTACGAACAAACTCTTTATGTGTGGTCGGTCGAAGATGTACTGGTCTCTGTACAAGCCAACAAGCCACCATGCACAACACACTACTACTGCTGCCCTTCACCTGTCGCCGTCCTTCCACGTCTACCTGTCCTTGGCACATGCTGCCACTCGATGCGACAACATCAGGGAACATCACGGACACAGGGAGTACTTTCCGTACCCACGTACACCGTCAAAATGTCAGAACAACTAAATCTCATTCCTCCTGTCGTGCCAAACATAAATGATGTATTATGCACGAAATGATCAACTCTTCTTTACATATGGTCTGTGCTGCCCACTGAGGGGAGAGATATAACCATACTCCCTGCCTACACACGGACGAGAGAGATGACCAACCCATTACATTTGAACACACGAACACCCACATATCGGTGATGGAACCTCAACCACACGCCTTACCTACGACCGACCACGTCAGGAGGCAATGATGAAAGAATGTTCTCCCGTGCCCTTCGCACATTTATGGGCATGAAATTACACAAAACTGGGAGACCACTCCCGTGTGCCGCACAATTTGACACAGATGCATGCATATGCATACCAAACTCAATTACTTACCAAATCATATTCCTCGCGTTAAATGCATACCAAACTGGAAATACACGTGTAAAATGGATGGAGATCCACAACCAACAGGGTGCCACACATAAAACACCCAACTAACTAACAGCCCAACACTTTTCGTCTACACCTTCCCAACATAACATATATAAGACACACAACACAGCTACCAAACTGTCTTGTTGAGCCTGTTATCCGCAGGGGAGATGTCCATATATGCTGTCTGGGAAATCGTGGACACACAACAGGTAGTTTTCTTTGACGCTATGATTCCATTGCTAATCTGTCTTTGACTCTTTTCTCTGACGGAAATGGACTCGTTGTGTTGTATTTGGAAAAAAAAAAAAAAAAAAAAAAACACAGGCTCTCACACACACCCTGCAAGCGCCCTCGATTGAAACCAAATGCCGCCGAGTTCGCCTGCTAAATGTCTGCTCAGACTGTTGTAGTTCTTTGAAGATGATTCGTTGCCGGCCTCCGCGTGACTGCTGCTGTACTGATGCTGCATTCTTGCGGGTACACCTGTCGCGAGGGCTGTTCACCAGCACAGCAGTACCGCCGGACTCGGACGCAGTGCACATACGCATCCAAATCATGGCATGGTACAATAGTAGTACGAGTTGCCGGGAGTCGTCTTGTCGGCAACTGGATATGCGCACACGTGCTTGAACCACCTCTACACCCACTCCCGCATTTCCGTTCCTTCTCCACAAACCAGCCGATTCCTCCACAGACGTACCTGCTCTAGAAGCAGACATCGACGAAAACAGGACGCCAGAACCTCTGACTCCTTCTGCTGCTGCTGCTGGCCGGAGGACATAAACGGCTGGGTGTGGACACCGTCGCGAGGCAGCTGCAGCGGTTGCGGCGGTCCCTGCTCTTCGCGCCGCCGCCGGCAAAGCCCTGGCTAGTCCCATTCCCACCGCTCCGATCATGGTGTAGCCGCGGAGAGGACCCAGAAGACTCCACCTGACGTGTTGCTCTCCTCTGTGCTGTTAAGTGAAGGTGGTGTACTCCGTGTGTACTGCAGTAGGTCGGTCTCCTACAGAAGCGCTTACAGCCCGTAGTTCAGGGCCGCAGAAACCAAGCAGCAGACACAGCCACTATTGTTGCGTTCGTGGTAACCTCCAGTGCTGAAGGAGAAGGACGAGCAACGCGGCACAGAATCCGGAAGCAGGCGAACAACCCGTCCCTCCCTCTGTGCCGTTGTTGCTCAGAGGAAGTACTACGTGTCGCGTCTGGTGTGTGCTGCTTGTTGTATACTTTCGAGAGTTTTTATTTTTATTTTTTCATTTGCAGGTCGCCCAACAGAGATATACATACCCCAAACTTTGAAGAATGTGAATATGCGGACCCCCTCGTCGCCCTTTCACCGGCAGGCGGATGATGCAGTTTCAAACCACCGTCATCAGCAGCAAACGGAAAGAGATAGAGCGACGAACAGGCCATAGAAATCTCCAGCAGGGCGCTATGAAGGTCTTCGGTGTTGTAGTTGCCCTATGCTGCGCCGGGCAGGCGGCGGCAGGATCGACGGGCGCTGGGCCCTTGCACGGGCTACGTTCTGCCGTCATGACACAGCACCAGCAGCAGCGGCCCGGTGGCAACATGAACACCAGGCGGAGGTGGAGCATGGAGGTGAGAGGAACGACTGGCGAGAGAGAGAGAGAGGGGAGAAAGGGCTTGTTCAATATGCTCGGTGTAGCTTGAGTGCTCTGTGCTGTTTGTTGGCACGGCGGTCTCTCTCTGGATCGAGTCTTCAGTATCAGATGCAGATCGGGTGCAGCAGGCTACTCTGCAGTTGCTCCTGCTGTCACGTGTGTGCTGCGCTGTGTTGGCTCACTCACGAAATCACCTCTGGGCCACAGAGACAGCAGGAGTTTCGTCCAACAGTACGAGAGCGGAAAGCTAGGCGCATGCTGAAAACCTTTTCGATACAGCAGTATTATGATCGGGGGAGGGGGTTGAAAAGCGACAACAACGTCAATTGTTACAATTGTACAGACATCCTGTGAGAGTCCTGTATTCCTTGGTTCATGTTTTTTCCCTGGGTCGGAGCTTTAGGGTATGGTAAATCTCTGTAGGGTACAAAGGTGTCACATAACTTCTGTGAAATATCTGTAGGGTACGAGGGGTGTCATAGAATTTCTGTGGAATCTCTATAGGGTACGGGGGGTGTCACAGAACGTGTGATAAATCTCTGTAAGGTACGAGGGGTGTCACAGAACTTCTGTAAAATGTATGTAGGGTACACGGGGTGTTACAGAACGTCTGTAAAATCTCTGTACTGTACGAGGGGTGTCACAGAACTTCTGTGAAATCTCTGTAGGGTACACGGGGTGTTTCAGAGCGTCTATAAAATCTCTGTAGGGTACGACGGGTGTCACAGAACTTCTGTAAAATCTCTGTGGTAGGGTACGAGGGGTGTCACAGCACTTCTGTAGGGTAGGGTACGAGGGGTCTGCCGTTTGTTGGCTGCCCTCTTGACGCCTCCGGTCCCCTGCATGCCGTGCTTCTTCTTGAGGTGTGTTGACGTTACTGCGGTCTCCTCTGGAGCGCGGATCCACCTTCTTCGTACTGCGGCAGTGTGCGCTTGCCACGCAGTAGTACCTGTGGTTCATGCCTTCGCTCTCCTCCACGTACACTCCGAGCGAGTACATGTAAGAGTCGACGCGGGCGCCCTTCCTTACATAACCCGGGAGCGCTTGGAAGTTATCCACAGCAGCAGCGATGTCGGCATCCACCTCCACTACCTCCCCGTTCTTGTGGTAGACGAGTCTCGCGCCGAGTACCGGCACGCCCTCAGTGCTGCTGTTCGAGCCTTGCTGCTGGTTGCTCTTGGGGGTGCCTTCGTTTGTCTCGCCCTCGCCACCTTCACCCACCACCGTATCACCCCCCTCACCCGTGTTTGAGTTTGGCGGGGTTTAGGAGCTGCCGAGGTTCGCAGCAGCGTTCATGTTACCCTTTCGATCTCACACAGGACAGTTCACAGAAGTCAGAAGTTACAGATCTCGGTGTCTGCTTCTGTCCATAGCCAGCTGTTTGAGTGTTTTTTTATTATTAGCATCGACCGCGCTAACCGGCTGACCAATGAAACGACGTCAGTCTCAGTGCGGTTGTGTGTGTGGCGGCACAGGTGCGCGCGTCTTCCCACTTGGGTCGCGGGCATGACGTTACACGGGGTATTGCACAGATGTTTACCCGTGCCGCGAGTAAGTTTCGCCGTGCACACAGAAGTCATGTTTCTGTGGGGTACAAGGAGTGTCACAGAACTTCTGTAAAATCTCTGTAGGGTACGAGGGATGTCACAGCACTTCTGTGAAATCTCTGCAGGATACGAGGGGTGTCACAGAATTTCTGTGGAATCTCTATAGGGTACAGGGGGTGTCACAGAACTTGTGATAAATCTCTGTAGGGTACGAGGGTTGTGACAGAACTCCTGTTAAATCTCTGTAGGGTACGAGGGGCGTCACAGAACGTCTGTAAAATCTCTGTAGGTTAATTACAGACGGAATTACCGCCGGTACGTGTCTGTGAGTACCCTACAGTTCCGACCTGTGGTTGTTTGCGTCTTGCTTCGAAACCCGAGCGGGCGGAAACATGCCGCCGCGAAGGGGACAAGCACGCGTGTTAACAACAAGTGCAAAATCATCGGTGCCCGGAAAACGGCAAATAAACAGCAGTAGACGGCGATACAGATACTGCTGGGCGATGTGTTTGATGTTCGCGCGAGCAATATATATCTGAAGCATCTCTCGGCACACCCGCGTCGCTCTTGCATGCTCGACCACGTGAAAACCCAACATGTGACAACAGCCTGACACGCAGTCGCGGTTCTGCTGAGAATGGATTAGCTTGTGGTCTTGCCTCGGGGAGAAGCATCTCTGCAGCAGCGGGTGTGTGCTGTGTGCAGCGGTCGCTTCGTAGGCTGTGATTGTTCAGCAGCCTACACAGAGGTTACACTTCGAGTACGGGTGCAACTTGATGCGTTTTATCCTCTCTCGGTTCCGCAGAGGGTGGTGGCATGGTCTGCCTTGATCCGATCATTCGTTCCGAACGAAAAAGATTAGGTCCAAGATTTTTGAACGTTCCACCACAAGAGGCAGATCTGTCTCGGTGTACGCCTATTCGTTCGCGTATCTTGTGTCATGAGCTATCCGATATCTCCATTGGCTCAGCACGTGAAGTGTTTGATGTGGTCAAGAAGAGAGATGAAGTGTTGTCTCGACAGGTGTTTTGTCGCCACGTCTGCCAGCATCGCCTGGCTCTGCTTGTGGTGAATGCTGATGTTGTTCCTCTTGATCAGCTCGCGTTGGAAGGAAAACCTGAGAGCAATGTGCTTCGTCCAGGAGCTGAAGATGGCGTTGCCTTCTACACTGCCTGTGATGTACTGGTACGGCTTGGTGTCTGCCGCCCCGGATACCTTGTCCGCTGCCTGATAAGTCGAGAGTTCTGGTTCATACCCTGGAGTGCTATCGGGTTTACAGTTCTCCAGCTGGTAGACCATGATGTCCCCGGTGGCGGGATGCTTCATGTCTTGTTCTGGGTCGGGCTTGACCCGGACGTCCTTGTCGATCACAGACTGCAGAGACGCCACGGTGACGTCCACCTGATGGACCGGCCATCGTTGTTCGCTTGCTATAGCGAGTACGGTGCGAACGCTCCCGATGTCGCACACCGGTGCGCAGCTCCTCCCGTAGTCGATGCAAGACTCCTGCACTTAGCCCCTCCCGTAGTCGATGCTAGACTCCTGCATGTACCCTTGAACCACCAGCTTGACCAACAGTTTTTCGTCGGCTTTCTTTTTGGAGGTGTTCGGAATTTTTTTAGCTCTTCCAAGAATCGTTGCTGGATTAGGGTGCCTGTGGCGTACACGTAGGCCCGCCATGCTGGGAGCGATTCTTCGCCCAAATGAGAAAAATCCGGAGTGACGCTGGCGTGATCGTGGTAGATGTTGTTGGCGAAATCCAACAGCCGTGCAGACGGCAGCGTGCTGGGGTCGGGCCGCATCATCATTGCCGTCATGCATCCGTTTCCGCTGAGGTCCATGGAGATTTCCAGGGAGCTAGGTGCAAGGGAGGTTCGATCGAATCACAGGAGTTCGGCCTCCTCCTGATAGCGGCGTGGGTTGGTCCAAGCGGCCGCGATTTCCCCTGGATCAGCTTCGGCGCGCTGCCTGATGCGATACTTTCTGCCTGTGCAGCATTTGGGTCCTCGCCGGATGTGGCTACCTAAGGCGAGAATTGCCGGAGAAGCTGATTTTCGGTTTCCAGGTCGCGCTGCCTGCCCTTGCTGATGGCGCAGACGTCGCACGGTGTCATGTAGTCCGAGGAATCGACTCCGTTGCCCTCCTTTTTGCGTAGCAGTTCCATGCTCCGGAAGTTGAGGTATCCAAGCCGCCGGTGCACAGTGTTCGCGTTCACCGTGGCTTCGTACGCGACCCCTAGGTCATCATCACCCGTCACTGTGTCCGGCTTGCCAAATCCCCGATCGTTCGGAAGTTCGTGATATGTTGGTTTCATGGGCGCTATCGTTTGCTCGGAGGCGGCTTGGAACTTTATGTCAAGAGAGCACGTACCCATGTCGCGCGAATCCTTTTTGATCGGCATTATGTGACCTCTTACCGCGAGGTGCGGGTTGCCTTCCTCGATGACGAGCTTGACGCCACTCTTCATCTGCGCCGTAGGCAAGAAGACGTAGCGTCCGAGGCCGGGGACAACTAGTCCTCGCAGGAGCACGGCCTGTTTCTGGCGGCCACTGTCCTTGACGGTGCAATGGATGAGTCCTGCAGCGTTTCCGTCCATCTCGTGGTCGCCACCGACCGAGACCACCTTGGGTTTGGCGAGGTTTTTGACTCCCGCATCGTTTCCTTCAGACCTGGGATGAGGCGGTCGTCGAGCATATTCTCGGATGCTCCGGTGTCGACGAGCAGCGTGGCTCCAGCAGCGTTGGCCTCGAACCCCCCCCCTTTGTGAGCAGTGGCGTACATGAATGCTTCCTCTGACTCGCCATCTACGCTGAAGTCGATTTCGGCTTTGGTGCTGCTTGCCTCCAGCATGGTGGCTTCGGCATCGTTGGGCTTCAGCTCCTCCCTTTTGTGGACGGTGGCGTACATGAACCCTTCCTTTGATTCACCGTCTGCGCTGAAGTGAATTTCGGCTTCCGTGCTGCTTGCCTCGCTTGTTGTCGTGGCTGGTTCTCTTTTGTTGCTAGCTGAGAAGCAGTGTGCACAATTAGCGCATGCGGAGAGGGCCTTGCCCGTGTTGCTGGATTTAACCGGCCGCGGCGCTCCTCGCTCGAAGCATTCCTCGTCGGAGTGCCTGGTCGTGAAGTGAACCGAGCACCATTTGGTGGCTCCGGCAGGCTTGGTCTTCGTCGTTCCGTTGCCGTTCCTTTCGGGGCAGTTACTCCGGATGTGTCTCTTTTCTCCCCAGTCGAAGCAAGTCGGTCCCTCTGAGGGAGTGGTAGTCAAAGCGAAACCGCGCCCAGCGATGCGGCTCTTCGGCCCTTTGCGAGATCGCTCGTCAAGGAACATGTGACGCATGGTGGTTTGCATCTTGTCGACGTTGAAGTCTGGGTCGCGGTTCATGATCATCTTGACGTCCTTGTATGTAGTCAAGTTCATTCCCTCGAAGGCT